TCTCGTGTGTGTGTGTGTGTGTGTGTGTGTGTGTGTGTGTGTGTGTGTCTATTTTCAGAATGGGGGTAGATGAGGGTGATAAGAAGGCATCAAATATGTAAACTATAAAGTGGATTTATTATTTTTTAACATACTTTTCAGAACCTAAATGTCCAAATCATTGTCCCTAACAAAGTCGTCCCTTTGGAACTCCTCTTTTGGAATGATAGCCTGCAATTATCTAAATTAATTCAAACTCGAGGTGGACTTGATATTTGCAAGCTGTTTGGTGACAATATCAACAATAAGCTGGATAGAACTGTTTTATATAAAGAATGAGAAGTGACAGTAATGAAAATGATTGCCTCTGTGGGTCATACATACACTGACCCTAAATTTTTTTTTAAAAAGATTTTATTGGGGAATTGGGGGAGGGGACCAGCCAAGTTGTTGTTCTTCAGTCTTCCTTGTGGAGGGCGCCAGTCGCCATCTGGCTTCCCGTCAGCAGCCCATGGCCTCTAAGCTCAAGGTGCTGTGTTCAATCTTAGTTGCAGGTGGGCATAGCCCACTATCGAACAGGCAATCTTATTGTTACATCAGCTGAGCCATCCTGCCACCTGCTGTCAGCTCAGCGACAACTCAGCTCAGGCGCAGTATCACTGGCTCATGTGGGAATCGAAACGGCGGCCTTGTTGCTCAGAGCTTGTGTTCTTAAGCCAACTCTTAACCAACTGAGCCACTCGGCCGGCCCCTGACCCTAAATTCTTATTCCCCCTCTTCAATCCACCTTCCACATTGCTGGCAGAGTTCCTCGCTCAAAACACAGAGTTGATATCACTTAACTGCCTGAAAATCTTCAGTGGCTCCCTATTACCTTCAGAATACAAGCCAAGCTCTTCAGCTCTGTGGTTGGAGCGGAGAGCTATGGGCAATGGAGCGAGACCAGCATGTGTTTAAATCTCACCTCTGTGCCCTGAGGCATATTATCCAAACTCTCTTGCCTTCGGTTGTAAAAACAGGGCCAACAGCATCTACTTTGTTAGGTTTTGAGGACAATAGTATTTTTAAGATGTGCAGAGTAGTAAACTTGGTAATAGCAGTTCCTCCACATGGCATTCAATGCTCGCTTGACCCAGTTGCAACCTGTCTAGGGTAAAGCCTCATGTCTCCACACACCCCAGGTTCCCCATAGAGACACACACCCTCCATCCAGCTACATTTGCCTACCTGCAATTCCTTAGAGGTTCTTGGCCTCTTTGCTTTGCTTATACTCTTGCTCCCTTTATAGTGTCTCTATCCCCGACTCCTCTCTGTGAAATACTATGTAATACACCATTTCTTCGGTCAATGATTATGATTTCTGCATACAGGACTTGGTTCCTAGTCGAAAGGTAATCTTCTTGGGTCAGGAACTATCTTCCAATTCATCTTAGAAGCTCCCACCAGCCCCCAGCAAGGTGCCTGGCTCAGAAGAGCTAGTTAGTAAATGTCTGTTAAAAGAATTCATTCCAAAAGAAACTTTATTTTACTACTACTACTGCTACTATTTTTGTCAATTCTGCTTTTCTTAGCAAAGAGTTCACTCTGAGGGATGGCACTCGGCTACCTGTGCAGTGTCAAGTCCACATGTGTTTCATAATCACTCTCATTTCTTTGGATCCTTATCTAAGATATTTCCCAGTTTTAGTTGGAAGAGAGTAGGAAACAGATGAGGACCATACAAATGTTGACAATAGGGTAAAATTTGGCAGCCACTCAATTATTTTTTTCTTTTTTAATGGAGTATGACTTACCTACAAGAAATAACACACATCTTAGGTGTAAGCTCTGTGAATTTTTATCACCACTCAGATCAAGATACAGAACATTTTCAAAGGCATTTCTACCTTGAAATAGCTCTCAAATCCTTCCCTCCTTCCAACCCTCCACTCCCACCCCACTGCCAAGGAGGGGTCCAACTACTTGCTAATCAGTTTCCCTCCCTCTTTTTCCTAGTTCATGGCTCATGGCAAAACTCAAACATCTAAATGAATGAACGAATGAAAGAATGAAGGGAATGCACAAATATTGTTAAACGAGTGAGACCCAATTTGGAGGGAAAAGGAGGTCTGTAGGGTGGCGTCCATGCTGCTTTGCCTGTTATGTTCCGGAACTAAAGGGTATCTACTGGGAATTCAGAGGTAAGAATTTTTCTCTCTGTAGAGTTTCAAAGGGAGATTGAGGTCACAGAAAGTTTGAGACCCTTAGGCGAGTCTCCAGCTCACCCCACACCCCACTCCCAGGCCTGCAGGGCCCCGCCTTCGTCAAACTGCCTCCCAGAGAAGACACCCGACCGGCCCAGATCCAGTCATCGAGGGGCCATCCATCACTGTCTGGATGCAAGCCAATCCGACCAGCTCTGCTTTCCTGCCAGCCAATGACCATAAAGATGGGAGCGCGCGGAACCGAAGAGGGGGACGATCGGCTCAGAGTAGGTATAAAGGGGGTCGGAGGACCTAGCGGTACCACCTCTGTGCCCCAGCCTAGTCTAGGTGTTGTTACCGTCCCCTCTGTAGCAGAGCTCCGGGGCCAGGGCTTCTGTGTGCCCTCTGGCTGGACGCAGGCCCCTGGGGTCTCTGTTTTGGACGTGCCCTGGTGCCAATTCAGTAGGAGAAAAGGGAGCGCCCTGAAGCTCCCTTCCCCGTATATACTCGAGACCCTCCGGGTTGCCCACGAGGGCAAGGGGAAGGGGAATGCAAAAAGTCGGGGAGGAGCCCTGGCGGTGAGAGCAGCCAGGAAGGCAGGCCCTGGCGGCCACTCCCGCCTGGAGCCGCCGGCGGCTGCCTTCCCGAAACCCGGTCCTGGGCAGACGGCACCCCGCCCGCCCGCTCGCTGCTCCTCGCTCCCTTCCGCGCCCGCTGGCAGCGTTAATGAGGCCGTTTGGGAAGAGTCGGTGCCAGCGGGAAGAGCTCTAGGCAGACGGCCAGGCCCGCAGTCCTAGTGGTTCCACCCTGCTGCGGGCGCCGAGAGGGCCGGGGACGCAGCGGGGTCGCCACCTCTGTCCCCATAGGGCCGGACCTGCAAAATTGGGCTCCCGAGGAAGTAGCTCCTCCAGGTCCTCCTACCGTTCTGCGCAGCCCTCTCTGCGCTGCCTTCTCCCCGCCGCGGGAGTGAGCCGGCTGCTTCACTGCAATGCCCTCCCCATAGTCCTTTAGCCACCGCGGGCGAGGACACCTTTCAGGTCGCCTCTGCATTGCCATGCTCCCTCGGCTCATTCTTAACCCAGTACAGTCCCTGTGTGAGCTAGGGGTTCGGACGGCCCTAGCGCAGGAGTTGTGGGAAAGCCACCTCTCTTCTCTCCAGCAGTTCCCCTCCCAAGCCCAAACACTTGAACCTTCCAGAGCCTCGGCGTGCCCCTCGGTGAAATGGGAATAGCATCGCACAGTCCACACGATTCGGTGGGCTAGTTTGTGGAAGCGCCAGGCCTTCCCATTCCAGTTCCTACGTTCCTACACAATTGGAATTGCAGGGCCAGGGCAGGCGTGGCTTGGTTGCTAGGAAGCGACTTTGCCCCTCCAGTCCTTGCGGTCGTTTAGAGGCGCGAAGGGAGCTGGGCACCGGTTGAGGCTGCATATTTGCCAAAGTATTTCTGGAGAATTTCTCATTCCCCGTCACCACACTGGCCCCTGAACTCTACAGCATTTAATTGCATACTTTTCTTTTTCCCTTTTAGAGTTGCCTTTTTGCATTATTTACTGTTATGGGTTATGTACAGTGTACACAATCTATTTGTTTACATAACTATATCTTTATTGTTTTCTCTAATTACAGAAGTAATCATGCCCATTATAAATATCCAATCTTAGAAAGTTTTATAACGGAGGGCGCGAAACCTGCCTCAGAACAGCCTCGATTAATACTCAGCGCTCGCCGCTTTCTTAGCGGCTGGCGGAAATTCCTGTGCCCACGCTGGCGCGGAATTCACAATGCGGGCCAAGCGTGCTGGTTGCCAGGGCAACGGCCTGTCGCAGGCATTGGAGCCCCTGGATAATCTCTCAGGAGTCGGGGTCGGTCCCGCCCTGGGGGCGGAGTTAGTCAAGGAACAGGGACCCTGAGGGAGTGTGTTTCCCGCCTTCCCCTCCAGGTGGCGCTATAGGATCGCGGATGCGCTCCCGAGGCGGGGTTGCCCTCCGCCAAGGCGCCAACGAGGGGAGGGGCCGGGGCGGGGCGTGGATCCGCGGCTGCAGTTCACACGGGATCGAGGGAAACGAGTCTCTGGGGAGTGAACATTATAGACATTCTCAGGGACTTAAGTACATGGATGCAGAAAGTGTACACGGCAGAGAAAGACAAGGAGAAATGGGAGGGGGGTGGTTCTGGGACAGGGATAAAAAAGGGGAGTCACCCAGAAAGTTGCTCTATCCTTCCCGTTTGCCCCTGAGGTTCCTCTCCACTCTCTCTATCCCTCCGGAGCTGCAATTCTTCACACCCTCTGGAGCGCACTGGGTGCTCTGGACACTTAGGCGGGGTTGGGGCTGACTGATGCTTCCTTGCCGCCCGCATCCTGGCCCAGCATGGCAAGCTTGCATGGCTCTAGTGCTCAGGGTATATGGCAGTATAGAAATTCCTGCGGTCCCGGGCATGCCAAGAAAAACAGGCGTGCTGTTCCTCACTTTGTCTAGAGGAAGCCTTCCGCCCTTCCCTTCTGGAGGCTGGGAATAGAAAAGTGACTCAAAGAATCCCAGTGGGGCCACCATGTGTGTACCACCTTTTGTCCTCTTTTCCCAAATATGTGTCATTCCTTCTACTATAACTTTTACCGTGTCACACAATCATACCAAGTCTTACCGCCGCCTCATATAGGGCCTCATGGTATCCCTGTCGCAGCCCCTCACCATGTTAAATCATCCTTTTTCCCTTGACCTGTCCCTCCCCAATCACATGTCCTGGTAATGGGCATCCTGAAGACGAGCCACAGAAAGTGCAGGCGCCCTCAACAGAACACACACACTTCCCAGGCTAAGAGAGAAGGGGACCATTGAGAGGAGACAAAAGCAGGTTTATTAGGACTCAGGGGCCAGGATGTCTAAGGTCTGAGTTAAGGCAGCTCAACTGGTTCTCACAGCCCAAGGGGCAGGCCAGGGCAGTGAGAGGGGTGACTCAGTGCTGAAGCCAAACCTTTGCATCTCAGAGTCCCTGGCCAGAGACCTCAGGAGTCGGTTCTGGGAGTGCCTGGGATACAGAGGTGTCTCTCCTGTCCCCTGGGGTCAGTTTTTTTTTTGGCCAGGATTGCAGAAATGATCTTGGGGCAGGGAACCTCACATGCACAGCCTTCATTTCAGTAATGACCATTTAATTTGTTCCTTGGCAGACTGAAGAACCTAGGGGTGGGGGGGGGAGGAGGAGTTAAGAGAAAGAATTGGGGGGGAATGTCAAGTGCCTTAATTAACACTGCAGTGAGAGGGAGGTCTACAGCCCACTTTCTCTAAAGGTCCCTGCAATTCCCCTTCACTAGGTGGCAGCAGCTCATCTCTGCCTGGCTTAAGTGGGGACAGGAGATCCAGACCGAAAGAGTAGTTCAAACTGGCTGCAGCCAGCTCCCAGCCCAGGCCCAAGACTGCCCAGCCTCTGGTTTCTGCATCTACAGCGATGGGTGTGGCAGCAGGCCCCATCTTTCCCATGCCATGCCATGCAAGCTCCCGCCCACAGTGCCACGTCCAGGCAGAGTCTGAGCCCAGGCCTGACACTTCCTGAGCCCAGACACCTCAGCAAAACTCTAGCTCTGGTTTTGGCTGGCAGTGTGTCCTCCACACCCCACCCCAACCCACTGCTGATGTGGCATAGCTGGCAAATGGTGGCTGGTCAGATACTGCTACAGGACACTTGCATTCAGATTGTTCACTCTCATGTCCTGCTAAGGAAACAGCCTCAGTCCAATGCTTACACAAATCCATACAGCTGCACACACAATGCCAACTTGGTGGCGACTCCAGGTATGTCCCTCTGGCCACCAAGCCTCATTTCCTTTTAAAGAAGGTCTATCCTAAACTGTTTGTCCCTTCTTCCTGCTCAGTCTCCCTCCTCTCTCAGGGACAGGCTAGCCCTGGGGTTCTCCTGCTTCTCCTAGCCAGAATTTCACTTTCTCCTCATTTCATCTTCCATTCACTACCTGCAACTTCCTTGGTTTTTACACAAGAATTCCGTTAAAAGTGTTATGTCTTCAGGTGGTGACTGGTTAGCTCAGTTGGTTAGAGTGTGGTGTTGATAACACTAAAAGTGCCGGTTCGATCCCCGCATGGGCCACTGTGAGCTGCACCCTCCTTTAAAAGAGTCAACTATGCCACTGTAGCATGAAAGCAATGTGTAACCAATGACCACGGCTGTTCCCCAATGAAATCATAATAAAAAAAAGTATTATGTCTTCAATCTTTCTAGGAGCTATGCTAAGAGCTTTCCGTGCATTAGCTCATCTAATTCTTACAATGACTCCATGAGGAGTGTCCTGTGATTTTCCAAGGCCCAGGGAGGTTGAGTAACTTGCCCTAGGTCACCCAGATCCTAGGTGGTAAGGTGGAACATCCAAGTACATCCTGGGATGACTCACAGTAGCACCTGTGTTCTCATTTGCTCTACTCCTTGCTCCCTAACCTCTTTTGGATGTGTAAACTGCCAAGTAGTCTCATTCCTCTCAGCAGGGTATTTGGAGGCCCAGGGAACCAGGGGGAGGAAGAGGCAGAGTGAGCACCACGGGCAGTGACAGGAAAGTGGGCACCACACCTGGTGCTCCACACCTGGGGCTCCACATGGAATGTTACACACCCATCTGGGCCTGGGCCATCACAGCAGGAGATAGTTAGTTAGTGCCAGGGCAGGAAGCTCCGTAAAAGCAGGATTAGTCTGGGCAGAGAGACCTGTGGGCAGACAGAATGGAGGTCAAGCAGTCAGCCTGACAAGCAGGAAGTTTGCGCAGCTGGGAAACCAGTCAGGCCCAGGGACCTCTCCCTTGCCCCGCAGGCACCTCCAGATAGGACCATGCAGGGGACTGGCAGGGGTGGACTTTTCCACAGCCAGGTCACTCAGGGGCAAGGTAGCAAGTAGGAAGTGGAGAAAGCTAGATCCTATTACAGATTTAAGCATCCCTTAACCTTTCTAGCAATGAGGAATGAGGGTTTGGAGGAAAACTCCTATTGGGCGTCTTTTCTGGGGGAGCATCAGGGGCCTGAGTCCCTGGATTGCTTTGGGGGACAAGTGACCCAGCCATTTCCAGGGTGGGCAGCTCACCCCAGGGTTTCAATATAAACCACACCAAGCCAGTAGATGAGGTGGGCTGCTGGTGAGGCATGCATCACGTATTAATGCCCAGCTTGGCACTCCCTTGGAGACTCTGCAAGGCTCCCATGAGTCTCTGCAAGAGATGGCCTATAGCTGCCTCCCACACCCTGACTGTTCAGGTTAGATAGTTCCACTGGGTCCCCCTGGAAGGCTCTGCATGACTTCTCCCTCTAGCCCATTTCTGGCCAACGCAGACGCAGGGGGCCTACCTGGGCCACACTCTGTTCAGTCAAGCTGCTGTCATCTGCCTGTAGGGAAGCAGTGTCAAGAGGGTGGTCAGACCAGGGTGAGGGTATTGGGCGAAGAAATAGAGGTGAAGGGGATCGGGCGTGGAGGTGAGGTGATGCAGTGGTTAGGGGATCATAGACTACACCTGTATCACTGTTTAGTGGCAGGCCTACAGTCGGAAGCCAGGACCCCTGGGGCCCATTTCTGGTGCAAGGATAGTAAGGGAATGAAGGGAATAAATATGGAAGAAAAGGGCAAGAGAGGCCACACTGGGCAGGGGAGTTCTAGCTAGACCTCCACTCCCCAACCTCAAGGCCAAGGCAGCCACCTGGTGTCTTTTTGAGAGTTTTTTTAAATTTCCCCAGTTTGTACTTTCCACCAGGGAGGATGGTGAGGTGCTTGGTGATTCTACAGGGGGAGAGGACAGGAGATCTCTTTTACTAACTGACACCCCCTCCCTAAACTGCCATCCCCCCCCCACCAAGTGCATTGTCCCAATAGTTGCTTCTGCTAGAGGAGCCTGGTTTCCCACCATCGGAGCCCTGGCAGCCTCATGGGCAGGGAGGGCGGGAGGTGGGGAGGATGCGAAGGGCAGCCTGGAGGAGATGCGAGTGAGGGGCATGCAGGAAGACTCTTACCCTAAAATTCACTTTCTGGATCACTTGCTGGGGGTCGCTCTCCAGAATCACGCTACAAGGTGAGAGAAACCAGCAGGAAAATCGGTGACATGATTCTCCCCTCTGCTGCCTCTCCCTGCGATGCCTTTTCCCTCCATCACCATATCCTGCCACACACCCCCTCCAGGGGGCCTTCCCATGATATTCCTCAAGTCAGGCCTCTCCCTCACCATGCAGAGCCCTCGGCTCTGAGTCTTCTACACTTCAAACACCCTTGGTCGGGGACTCAGAAACTCAGAGCTCTTGCAAGTTCACTTCACCTTCTAGGTTTAGGGATGGATTCAGATGTGGGGAAGGAAAGGCGCCTCCCCAGGGTCCCTATCTTGTTTCAGTTTTATTTTATGCTGTGGGATCACGCTGTACACAAAAGAAATGGAACTCCAAAAATCAGACTCTTCCCTTTTGATAGACCCAAATAACGAGTCTTTTCTCAGCTAGTGGGCACTCTTTCACGATGCACTGGACGTGCTCTGGAGCTGTTTGTGGGGGGGGGGTGCAGGGGTGCAGGGGTGAGGGCCTCACTGTGGCTGGGATAGATACTACGGGGACTGAGTCCTCCTCCTTTCCCAGTGGGCCTGCTGGAGTCTCCTCCAGGGCAGAAGCCTAGTTTTATTTCTGTCCTAGTCCCAGGGGAGTGAACAAGTATTTCTTGAGAGCCTTTTCCAGGCCCCATCACGGGGGCACCCCAGCCCCATGCTCCCTCTCCACAGGTCCTTTCACCCATAAAGACAGAAGCATCTCAGGCCAAAGCTCCCGTTCAGGCACTGTCTCGACTGACACTTCCTCAATTTTCCTTGGAGGGAAACTGAGCTACTCAAGGGACAGGGAGACTGGGCCTTCTGAGGGCACAGACTCAGAAGCTTATAAAGCCTACGTCCTCCCTAGCACAGGCCCTGCACCTAATTTTGTATTTGTAATTGTGTGTTTTCCTTAAAGAGGTTCCACCAAATTGTATATACTTCTGATTCTACAAAATCTGGTCTTCTTCCATTCCTTTTTAGGGTCCCAGCAATTAGCACAGGACTTGCAATAGCAGGCAGCAACAGGGAGAGAAGGAGAAAGCCCGCTGTCCCTCATCTCCCAGAGCTCCCTGCCCCTGGGCATGTGGTACAGGGCTGTGGAAAGAGCCCATAGTTTTAGATCTTGGTTCTGCTGTGTGACCTTGGGCAAGTCACTTGAGTCTCTGAGCCTGTGTTCCCTCATCTCTAAAATGGATGTAACGATAGGGGCATGTGGATATCTTTAAGATGATCAGCTTCTATTATCCTTTGTCCCAGAGCCAGAATTTTTTTTTCCTTCCTGATTATTGCCGCCCTCACCCCCACCCCCCCGCGCCCCACCATAGAAATTCACTAACCAACCCTTTTCATAAGGGCTCCCAGCTTCCTAAGAATATAACAGCATAGCAATAGGTGACACTTATTGAAGGAAAACCATGACCTTCATCGGCATCACCTTATTTAATCCCCACACCCTATGTATGAGGTAGTTCCCTTATCATTCCCTTTTGAAAGATGGGGAAAGTGAGGTTCAGGACAGTAAGTACCCGGCCCAGTTCACGCATCTAGCCGGGGTTGGAATAAAGCTGTAAGAGTGGGAGGTGTGAACACTGCAGGGCTCTGCCTGAATGAAGTCCTTCCATGGAGGGGCAAGTGGCTGTGCTGCCTGCTTCTCCTGGGCCCTGGAGAACAAACCATTTCCCCCAAATGCTGCCTATTCAACGGTCAGCCATAGCTGGACATCAGATTCTTTTCTTATTTGCTTGACTTTGGCTAACATTGAAATCAACCTCCATCCTCATGAGTGGGGTGGGGGGATGAGATCACAGGGAATACGCGGGAGGAAGGGAGGGAGACGTTGGCTGGCGAGCCAACCATGTGCTGGGTGTGATCTAGCGCTGATGACCCTCAAAGGCACCTCCTACTGTGAGTGTCCCTGGCCAGCCCCTCTTGTCCACTCCCTCCTCACCCGCCATCCACAATCTCGTCCAGCACCAAGAAGGCTCCGTCCATGTTCTCCAGCAGCCAGCGCTTCTCCACATTCTTCCTGAAGGCAGACGCCGCTCCTGAGCCTCCGCGTGGCCAGGAGGAGCTGGGGCCCTGCCTAGGTGAGACGGACCCCCTCTCCCCACACATTCCCCACCACTCCCCAACAAGCACTGGGAAGGACAGTGTCAAGGACAATGAGGGCAGTGCCTGTGCAAGGGGCTTCTGGGCAGAGGACAGGCCTGCTTCCTTAACCCTCCTTGCCCAACCTCCCACACTTCGGGCATGGACACTGTGCCCCCGCCCATAGCACCCCTAATGCATTTGATAGCTAGTTTAGATAACTACAGCTCTACTATAGTTAATTGTGTTGACTGGAGACATTTATTTTTGGATTATCCTAGTTTGGTTTCCCTAGGTCATGTTCACTGGGATAGATACCAAATAACTGAATGGAGGTGCCGTGAAAACCACCCTGAGCTTCAAGTAAAAAAACCTGAGTTTGAGTCTCTGTTCTGATATAAATAGCCTGTACCCTCGGGCAAATTACTTAGCTTCTCTAGACCTCATTTTGTCGCCATACCCTTGCATGGCTCTGCTCTGGGTGACACCACGATAGTCAGGTAAAGGGCAGGGGCCTTGAAGGAGGGTGCTCCAACTCTAGTCTTAGCCTTGTGGGGGCTTCAGGAGAAAAGCAGGGAGGAAGGGCCCTGCCTCTGTGATGTATCAAGGCCTAGGGGATGGGGGCCTTAAAGGGCAGAGGTCCTCACTCACCTTAACACGTGGACCAGGGACTCAAACAGGCAGGTGAGAACAGACATGAGCATCAGCTGGGGTGGGCAGATATGGAAGGAGGAAAATGAGAGAGCTTGAGGTTGAGAAGGCTGAGAGGAAACCTCAGCCTTGGGCAGAGTTGTACCTGGGCAGTGGTTCCTTTCCAGAGAGGAGAGGGCTAGAGACTGACTGCAGCTTGACCTTGGAGGGCACCTTCCCATGTATGGGTTGAGAGTACTCCACTGGGGGACACTGAGTATATCCTTCTCTAGTGATGTTTAAGAAAGAAAGGCTTCTGCAGAAGCTTCAAAGCCTTCACTTCTGGTTCCCAAGGAACCTAAGGGGCATCATGGATATGTCTTGTACCAGAAAAAAAATCATTCTGGCTGCTTCCCGACCCCCTGAGCCTTGAAGGAGGGGTACCAATGGTAAGCCTTTAGAACCCAGCTTCTAGCCCAGACTCCAATCCATTCCCCCACGGACAGACCCTCCTTGTCACCCCAACCCCTTGAATTCACCTCATTCTCGTGGGATGAGCCCACCACATACAGGAAGAGGTCAATGCTGCTCTTGTAGACGATGGTCATGCCCCCGAAGAATGCAATCTCACCTAGAAGTGGAGGGGACTTTCAGTGCTGGCCGCTGCTGCCTGGCCCCTCCTCCCTGTCTCTAGCTCTGCACTTCTCTCCCTATTCCCTTCTTCTCTTTCCAAGGAATCCTTGGAAAGACTAGCACTAGGGGCACTACATAGGCTACTCTGTGTCCTTCCCTCCACCCTCTATTTCTAGCGGCTGCCTCATTCTGAGGAGTCAACAAACCCAGTTCAAAGTCGACCTTCCACTCCCTCCCACCACGTGCCATGGCTTGGACCAGTCCCAGGCTGGTGGGAAACCCGCAATTCCGTTGGCCTCTTCCCCTGAGAGGGAGGACTAGGTTTCCTGGGGGTGGGGGTTTGAGAGAGGTGGGGAGTGAAGGTTCCCCGCAGGGAGAGAACAGCTGGGAAGGAAAGAAAAAAAACCTCTGAAGAAAAGGGAATGGCCTGTGGGTGTGTAGGGCCCACAGGGGCAGATGTGTCCAGATGGAGAAGATGACAGTGAACATCCGAGAGTTCTGGGCGAGAAAGAGAAGGACACTTACTGTCAGTCCTGTTGGTCTTATTGAAGACATTTTTCTCGAAAGCCACCTGCTCCTTCATGGAGGGGAATGTGTCATCATAATACTATGAGAAAGGGAAGGAGAAGGGGTGATAGCCATTCCACAGAGCCTTGCTCCTCCATGGCAGGGAATTGTGGGTGCTGGTCAAGTGCCCCATCTCATCTGCATTGCCCTCTATGCCTGACTGCTCACTGTTTCCCCATAAATACAAATTATAAGCAAAGAAAGTAATAAAAGTAGAGGAATTTTGAGGCCTGTTTTTGGAGTTCTCTCCTGATTTCTTGGAGGCTTTTGTACATTCAGCAGATGTGCGGTGTGCTAAGGATTGGGGTGGTCATTAGATCACACTGTCTCTACACAAACCTGAGTCTACAGGAAAGAGGGCATGGCCCAGAGGTCCTTCGTCACAATAATAACAATCATAACCGCTACTTTATTATCCCCATTACACAGATGGGGAAACTGAGGCATGAAAAAGTCTGATAACTTCCCCATCATCTCAGAGTTGCAGGGGTAGAGCTGGGATTCAACACCAAGGATGGTGTGACTCCAGACAGGATTATAGTGGAGATTAAATATCTAAGGAAAAGTTCCTGGCATACATTGCACAATTAAATCAATGCCGTTTTGTTTGGGTTTTGGTGAGCCTCTCTCTTTCTCACTTTCTTAATCTGAACATGGATGTGTCCTGCTGGGAGGAGGTCCTAAAACCATTGACATTGCTGGTCCACCTCTGACCATCTGCTGGGGCAGGGCATGATGAGCTCTGTTTTCAATTTTCTGGATGTGTATTTTGCCAGTTAGTACTCCATCTGCAGGCAAATTAGTAGTCTCCCTGCTGGCCACTGAAGGCATGAAGATAAAATGTTTCAGCCCCAAACAAACAATGCATTGCATAGTTAATTTCGATGCCCTACTATGGTTAATGGTGTTGACTGGTGACATTAAGTTTTAGATTATCCTAGTTTGGTTTGGCCGGGCATCTTCACTGGGATAGATACCAGATAACTGAATAGTCTGTGCAGTGAGAACCACTCTCCTGAGCTCCAAGTCAAATTACCTGAGTTCAGATCTCTGTGCTGATATTAACACTTGTGACCTCAGGCAACTCATTTATCTTCTCTAGACCACATTTTCTTCATTTGTGAAAGACTTGGATTATATAGTCTCCAAAATTTTGTCTGGTTCTAAATTCTTAGACTTCTCAGACTAAATCCTTAGTATTTACTAAGCTGTGGAAGAAAAGCGGATATTGTCTGTTTAAAATTTGGGGACTAGGACTCCTGGGCCCCAGGCTCAACACTCAACTGACCCTTCAGGAGGTTCCTTCCATGCCCAGGGTCTGGCTGGATAGTGGAAAAGATGATGAGAAGACATTTCAGGGGACATGCATAGAACCAGGGGAGCAAACAGGGGAGACATGCTCCCCTTTTTGGGGGCCAGCAGTGTCACAAGGCAGGAGGATTGACAGAATGACCTTTGGAGGGTCTAAGCTGAGCTGCTCTGAGTCATAGAGTCCACACTGGGGTCTTTCCTAGGACTGAAGAGTCAGCTGGGTGGGGACTTCTGTTCTTGGGGCCGTAGCACAATTTTCAGGGGGTCTTTGGCGAGGGTGGGAAGTTACCTTGGCCAGCAGGCGGTGTCCATCGTTATCTAGGATGAAAACAGCCTTGATGGTGTAGAGGGAAGGTTCCTGCAACTGACACGGGGGAAAGGGGGGGGGTGCTCCGTTGGCCCCTGACTCAAGGCAGGCGCCCTGTCATTGGCTTTATGGGGCCTTCTGGCCCAGGAGTCCATGCTCAGGCTCCAGCGACCTCAGCCCCCAAAGTCCATAGCTGCTTCGGACCCAATCCTGTGCCACAAGGACCAACTCCGGCGCCTGTTCCACTCCCAGGCAGATGTTCCACTGCAGGCCCTCGGTGGGCGCTGTGCCCATTGGGTGCAGAAGGTCCGTCCGGGCCCAAGTTCTGTCATGCACTGACTGCTCCAGAGCCCGAGTCGGAGTGTATCACAGAACCTGGGCCGGGGGGACAGCGGTGCGCCTCCTCCTTCCAGCTGACCCCCGGTCGAGAGTGGACCCGCTCTCTGAGCGCGCCCCCAACCCCCTGACCCGGGTGGGCTCCGGAAGCACGCATGTCAGCCCACCGCCCCTGGGAGTTCGAGTCCAGGACAGCCCCACCACTCCTTACTCCTCCCAGTGGAATCTCAATCCACCCCCACCCCCAAGCTGTCCCCACTGCAGCTCCAAATTGATCCAGAACTTCAGCCCCACGCGGACTCAGGACAGGCCTGGTGAGTTCGCACCAGGAGGAACTTTTCACCGCCGGCCCTGGCCCGACACCCTCCCTGGGCTGCTTAGTGGTGGCACCAAGTTCCCGGCGCCCGGCGTGCGAGTTGTGAGTTGGCTGCCCCCACCCCCACCCCGGCCCTGTTCCCGGACCCTGGCGCCCGCCTGTCTGCTCCGTACCCGCGGCCCCGTGGGCTCCCCGGCTCCGGCGGGCGGTTCCGGGCCCCCAGCCTGGACGGCCGCGGCCCCCACCCCCAGGTGCGGACGTGGCCAGGCCTCCGGCCGCTGCATTCCGCTCGCCGCCTCTTGCTGACAGCGCCGCCCGCCGCCCCGCCTCCGCTTCTGCCTGGCCCGCCCGGCCGCCCCCCAGGAGGCCACCGCCCTCCCCTCTTTCCCTGCTCTGTGCCTTTCCTTTTCCCCTGGCCTTTTCCTCCTTTGCGCCCTCCCTACTTTCCCTTCCCGCCCTCTCTGCCCTGAGTCCCACACTCCAGCTCTCCTTCCCCCGCCGCTCACTTCTCTCCTCCTCAGCTCCTTTCCCTTCCTTAAAGCCCAGAGCTCTCTGCATCCTCAGTTTGTCCCAGGACCAGCCAGGCCCCTCAGTCTCCTTCTGCCGCCTTTCTGGACTCTGGATTTGGTTTGCACCGGTGTCTGCAAGACTGTCCTGGGACCAGCAGAAAACACAGGCAAAGTCCAGTTCTGTCTCTAATTTCTAGTAGGTACCACGGGGACAAATATATCACGTTATCCTTCGGGTCTCAGGGACAGGTTCTAGCAGTGAGAGTAGATGAGGACAGCTCTGGGGAGACCCCTCTGTGCAGAACAGGTTCTCCCACTCTTCTCACACTACTCAGGAAAGGGAGCCATTGCCCCTGGGGACACCCCCACCAAAGTCTCCCAAGACACAGTCAGGACACAATCTGAAAAGACAGATGCCTAGCAGCACAAATACTCCACCAATGGCATCAGGTTTTGCCGTGCTTTGGTGTTTTTTTGTTTTGTTTTGTTTTACCCTGAAGTATATCAGAGGACAAGCTTTCCCTTCAGGATACTGAGGGCCAGTGGGAAATTAACTCTCCAATGTTAAACAGTACTTACCCATAACACCATCATGCGTGTATTTTACACTTAAACACTTGCACATGGGTAATATAACCCACACCTGTGAGATAGGTATTCTCCCATTTTAAGGCAAGGAAGACTCAGACCTTTTCAATTATATAGCTAATAAGCAGTTGAATGGAGATGAAACTGAGGTTATCAGCAAAAGGGCCTAACACCCATCGAATCTAACTTGATAGGTCTCTCCTGTCACATTCTTCATTTCCGCAGCCTACTTATTTCTTACATTACACTTTTCTCAGTCTCTATTATTCTTAACTAATTTGTTTACAAATGTGTAGGTAGGATCCTTCACCAGACTGAGTCCTATGAGAGGAGAGCTAATGTGTATGTCTGGCTCACTGTGGAATTCCTGGGGGCCCGAACTGGGCTCAGCACTGGATAGGTACTTAATAAGCATTTGATTAGTAAGCAAATTAATAAATGAATTCAGGATGAGGGCGATCATGTATAAATATTCACAGACTACCTATTTTATTTTTTTACAAATAATTATTTTACAAATAATAATTAAAATGTATGCAATCAATGAAACCATATTTTATGTGCTGTGCAAATATTTATTGAGTACTTACAAGTAATGCTCATACCCAGGAACTTTTCCAGTTGCTGGACTATAAGAATAGACAAAATAAACAAAATGTTTGCTCTCATGGAGTTTATATTTAAATGTTTGTGTGTATACACACATTTCTGTGAAAGACAGATAAATAAAAATAGATATGTGAGTTGGTGCTAAGTGCTGTGAAGAAAAATAGAGCAGGAATGGGGATCAGGAATGTGAGCGGTTGCAGGGAGCAGGGCAGAATGTGATTTTCATTAGTGTCACTAGAAAAAGCCCTCAAGAAGGTGATGTTTGAACAAAAAGCTGAAGGCGCTGAGAAAGTAAGCCATGCAAACATCTGAGGAAAACATCTAGTGAACTTTTTTCTGTGCTGATTTAGAAGGCACACTTGACTCTTCCTTGCAGGCTATCAGAGCTATAATAGTGAATATTAACCACCACTATTTGGTGCAATAGGGGGGAGGTGTGGTATTTTATTTATTTGGCTTCCAGATCATCACAAGTTATGTCAGTTGTCATGCCAGTATATATATATATATATATATATATATATATATATATATATATATATAAAATACTCAAAAATATATATATAAAATACTGACTTGATTATTTCGATGCCTTCATGCCTTCTGTGAGCCAGTCCATTTTTAGTTCATATTTACGAGGGCAACACCAAAAAGCCTCCAGAAGCATTTCCTAGCTTCTGTGTGGCGTATGGTATCCACACTGGGAGAGGGTCAGCTTGCAGAAGGGAGGGAGGGAGGAAGGCAGGACATTTAGGGAGCTGGTCTGGCTCCATGGGGAGAGGTGAGGGAGGTGGATAAGAAGGCACTGGAGAGGAGGCAGAGGGGCTGGTACTGAGGCCAGGAAATGAAGCTTAAGAATCACAAAATCCTCATGACCAGGTCAGTTGCTCTTGTAATCACCAGGATCTCTTTACATCTTAAGTGCTGCGGTAAGTAAATTCAGAGCCCTCAGGTTGAACTTTTCAAGGAAGAGATTCTCCTCAATGATGGCCCCTCCCCAAACTCCCTCATCAGAGACCCCAGGACTTCTTTCTCTCCTCAGGGACTCCCCGCCTAACGTGCCCCTTTCAAGAGGTTCCGTGTAAAAAATACAAGCTCAGTGTGCACAGTATTGGGACAGTGTCTTCCCCAGAGCATCGCCCCAAGAAGACTTTACAGGGTAAGCCCCACAACACCTGAGAAGCAGCAAGTGCAGGAGAAAAGCAGCTGGAGAGCATTTTCCCAGAATGAGGAAGCCAGAGCTGGGTTCAAAACCAATGCAGCCTTCATGCTTCTCTGCTCCCTTCAGGGTGGGTGTGCTGGGGGTTGGGGCCGCACATCTCTAATCAGCCGGAGTCTGTGGAGTAGCTGGATTCAGAATTGGACACCCCCCCACCCCACCCCTCACCCCCGCCCTTCAGAATCTCCAGGAGATGAGATTTCAAATGGGTTCCCCTCTAGGCCTTGGTATATCTTGGAGGTGAGACCATTACTTTTTCTCTGACTCACTCTCCTGCTGCCACATTTCTGTGATGTCTGTCCTAGGATTTCGGCATCTGTTCTTGTGTGACAAGAAGAAACAACTCCCTTGGGTAACAGTCTTTCTCTCCCCTTCCTGCTATAATGTCAAGAGGGGGAGGTGTGTGTGGAATGTGAGGTGTGGATGTGTGTGCTTGTGGCATCCTCCAGAGAGAATATGAACGCTTCCAGGCTCTGTCTGCAGGGTGGGTTTCCAGTTGACCATCCTAAGGACAGCTCTCATTTCTTTAACATGTTTGGCATTATCTGGGATAATAGAGAATTGGGTAAGCAAGGGACCTCACGCTCAGTTCTTTGCATAAGTGGCTTTATACACAGGGTCTGAACTTTAAACTTTGTGAATATGAATATTATCTCCATTTAGCTCTGGAGGCCCCAACTAGTAAGTGGCAGAGCCAGATTTTTGAACCCAGCTCTGAGTCCAAAACACCCACCTCATAATAGCGCCCGATTTTGACAAGCCACACTGAGAACTATACAAAGAAAATTACCCAACATTGTTTGGGACAATGTGGTGAGAATATACAGGACTGCTGAACTCAGCTTCATAAAAATGTTACACCAAGACAGGAATGAACAATGCGGTATTTCCATTGGCTAAGTCAAAGAAGGGAGCGTTTTGGGGTTGAAAAAGAGTACATCCTAAAATCAGGTGGTAATTCTAGTCTGTGCTCATGCATTACCACTGTTGTTCTTTTTCACCCAAGTTGCTCCAAGCTAGTGATTCTCTACTCTGGCTGCACAGAAAAATCATTGAAGGAGCTTTTAGAAAATCCTAATGCCCAGGGCCATTCTGGAAGACTCTGATCTAACTGGTCAGAGATGGGGCCTGGACATTGATATTTTCTACAAGCCCCCCAGATGGTTCTAATGTGCAGCCAGGAGTGAGAAGCAATCTTTTAAGACAGCTGTGGTAGGAGGTGCACAGGGAGAGAAGTTGGCTTGCAGAAGAGCTTTACCTATGTTGATGGTGTAATGGTAACAAGCTTGCTAATGATGTTTACCATGTAAGAAAGGTGCCAGATGTCTGGATTAGCTGGAAAACTGATTTCCTTGCAAGACATGCTAACCTTTAGTACTGACAGGATGTAATCCTAGAATCTCTCAGAAGGGTATAAGGAAATCTCAGGCAGGCATCTAATCCACTCCTCCGGACTAGATGGAAGTTGAAGAGTGAGAAATATTTATATAGATTAGCAACATTTAAAAACATTTTTAAAGAAAGGAAACAATAATGGGCGACCAGAATTGCAGAAAGATTGCATTTCCCCTTAGGGGAAAAGCAATTCCTGCTATTCCAGAACAAATCCAAGCCCCAGCCAGTCTGCCTTCCCACATCCACTTCTCCAAGGGTTTCCTGGCAGGTGTCATCTTTGCAGGATGAATGGAGGATGGATGTGCCTGCTGGTGGCAACAGCTTTTCCTACGGAGGAAGCTGGGTCAACAGATATAACCAGGACGAATGTGGATTTCGATGTATAGTTAGCTGGTTCTTTTTTTATGACCCCAAATCCCTGTGCATTAGAACTAACCCTTTTCCTGGCTTCCCACTGTCATCTCTTAGCAGCCTGGAGTTACAGGGGCAAGGCCTGCTTTTACTGATGGCTCTTAGCCTCTCTGTTAGGGAGAAAGCACATGTGCTCACTTTTTCCAGTGGTCTTCTTGGTCTGATTTAATGGATATACCAGGACTGATGACACATCAGTAGAGGATCTTTCTTTTGCTTCTTGGGTAAATGTCCTATTAAAAGCTGTCCCAGGCAAAGGAGGGAGGGATGTTGGGCGGAGGGAAGAGGTTGGCTTCCTGGGAGAAGGACACACCCTGGGTTTTACAAGGTTAATCAGTGGGTTCTGGGAAGAAGGTTTGCACCTGCTCAGACTTGATCTGGAACCCTAGACAGAGTGGAAGACAGTCTTTCAATCTCCACTCCCTACCATGGAGTATTAAATATCCTGGGTGCCCACACCCTGCCAGCCCTAACTGCCTGCTGCTGACTGAGATCGTCTCTATATGTACATAGTATTCTCAGTCCTTGCAACGGGCCAGCAATTCTTTGAGTCTTTCCCTTTTTCTTCCCATCTTTATGTAACT